AGCTTCGTGGATGACAGTTCTCATTGCCTGCATGTTCACTTCCCAGCAAGACAGACACACATCTGTGGCTCAGACGCAACCCAGCCCTCTAGATTGCCCTGTGTAGATAAATCCTATTTTCCTTAACCCCTGGGGGGAAGGTTGGAGCCCATACAAACTGGACCCAGCACAGGGATGAAATACTAACCTAGCCCTATATCCCCAACAAAAGTTGAAAGAGTAAAATTTGAATAAAAAGGAGGAAAGGTCACAATATCTTAGAAGGGGACACACTAGCAAATGTCAGACTCTGAGGGGACAACGAAGAAACCAGTCTACGGCAGAAGAAGCATAGTGAGGAGTAATTAATAAATTGGTGATTTTCATTTTTACCATCTGTCTGTACCTTTCATCATTCTTTCTACACTTTTTGTTAGCCTTAGCCTTACAATCGACTTTTATATACTTTGTTTTAAAATAGTGCAAAGTTTTTAATTTCTTCAGGTAACAGCCTAATTGCTCCAAACTGTTGAGAAGTGACTCAAGATATATATATATATATTGCTCTTTATAATTTCTCCCAGAGGGTAAAATAAACTGCTCGCAATCATTAACTCTATGCAAAAATTTCACACATCACCTGCAGGAAATTCTCTAATACTATTTATTATTGGCCAAAGGCCTGGAAATTATGATTCACTTTAGTATTATTTATCACTAAGGAGCAAAAACAGTCTGTCTGCAAAAATTTGACAGATTATCGTTTCTATCTGGTGGATTTATATCTTTGTGTCCCTTTACTAAGTCCTCTAAATATTATTAAGCATTCTCTCCGGCATTCAACCCATGCACAAACTAATTTTTCCCACTTTCAGTAGCAATAAAATAAAATGGCCCAAATATCCAAGAACCTTTACTGACACACATTTTCCCCCTAAAAGCATTCTCCTAATCTTCAATTTAGAGGCATGCCGTTGAAGAAATCACGTGAACGGAGAATCTTTTCACTTTGGTTTAGTAGTTTCGATTTTAATTTTCTAATTTGCAATCCTTACACAGAAGACACTCAGAATGATGCATGAAAGTTTAACAAACTTGAAACCTGAGCCCTACACATAATTTATTTCATCTGTTCTATCCCTGTCAAATTATAAAACTAAAAGCGAAGTGTTCTGTACAAGGAAGGAAATCCCATTTCTCACACTCCAAATTAACTTTCTGACCCCTACTTACTATTCTCATTACCTCCACAATAGTTTGATTATAATGTTGAAACAACAGAGAGAGACCTAAAATGAAGATGCTGTAGGGAGAAGATAACCATGGAAAGATCTAAGGTGACCTTGAGTCCCGTGTATGTATACATTCCTAAGCAGGATAAATGTATGAATGTTCGCTGAACTCAGCTCCAGAACAATCCGACATGCCTTTCGAGTATATAACCTCAGTTCTTTCATTGCATACATTTGGGGAAATCTATTCCAGTCTATACAGTAGAAAAGAACTTAAATCGTGAATGAAGAAATTAGTGGACTCCAGACCAAAGGAGCCACGTGAACACAAGACGGTGGAAAGAGCAGATTCTGTGACTTGAAGCTGAAGTTCAAGTTTGCCTCTTCAGTATTAATAAGAGGATCTTAACGCTGCATCTTTTTCCTGTTTATGCTCAAAAAGAATGTTTTCTTGGGAAATCACTTGGGAACAATTTCAGTTCTAAATTTTCAGCTCAATGAGTACATAGAGACATAGGAAATAGGCCAAACATTGGGAAGAATTCAATAAGTAACAAAGAACATGTATAAACAGATAAGGACAACTTTTATCTCAATCCAAAGTAAAGGCATAAATCTTGTACTTGCAATAAAGATGATTAGGAAAGATTACAGGATGCAAAACTCATTTCCTTTACACATTTCTCAGAATATTCATACCATCACCAACACAAACAGACAGTCATTTGATGTACTTAACTAAAACTCATTTATTTTTCATATACACTAAATCACATTTTATCAAAAATTTAATATACATATTTTATACATAAAATTTAAACTTGAAAATGAACCAACTAGTGTTGCTCTTACAACACTTTCCACCCTCAAATATGAAAAGATCATTTGGGCCCCATGGCTCCGAAAAATAGGACCTTGACGTAAATATAAGAAAATGAACCAATACAGCTTTTCGCACTAAAAAGGCAATATTTAACATGGCAGCTGTCTGACCAACTATTTGACCTCTGTATAGAGGTCGAGTATCAATCACATTGATCAGCTCCAACAGGGCTTGCAATCTAACCGGAATCAATCCTCAACCCTTAACATGCGCAGAATTCACAACATACATATCCCATCCACTGTTGACCTAAAGTGAGAATGTAGTCACTTTTGTTATTTGGCAATTATCTGGCTACCTGGCTGAATTTCCATTTTCCAGTTAGATAGATTTGTGGTCCCACAGAGAGGCTGTGGAGTAGGAGTGGGTGACAGCCTACAGGGGTACTAGAAAGTAATGATCTGTTGATGGTTGTGAGCTGGTGGTCACTGCCCACAGACAACCACACTGCATGAACCACAAACTATGAAATATTAACATACATGAATGAACAAGGGTTTATTAGTTCTCCAGAGAAAGAGAACCAAGAGGATGCATATATAGGAGATTTATTGTAAGGAATTGGCTCATGTGACTATGAAGGCAAATCCCAAGATCTGTAGGGTGAATTGCAAGCTAGAGACCCAGGAGAGCCAATGGTTTATTTCCAGCCTGTGTCTGAAGGCCTGAGATCCAGGGGAGCTGACAGTGTAGTTCCCATCTGAGACCCAGAAAAAGCTGATGTTTCAGTTCAAGTCTGAAGGGAGAAAAAAAGCCAATATCCCAGTTTGGGAGCAGGAAGAATCCTCTTCCTTGGGAGAGGGTTGGCCTTTTTGTTCTATTTAAGCCTTCAACTGATTGGATGTGGCCCACCCACAGCAGGGAGAGCAATCTGCTTGACTCAGTCTATCCATTCAAACGTTAATCTCATCCAAAAACGACTTCTGAGAAACACCTATAATGTCTGACCGAATATCTAGGCACTTCGTGGCCCAGTCAGGTTGTCACATAAAATTAACCATCAAAGGCCTAACTACCATGATTTTACCTAGTTCTCAAAGACAAACAATCCAGTCTTGTAGAGTTGGGGAGAGGTGTGAACAGATGGTTTTCTGAGGGATATGTGCAAGTTGGGCCGGGGGAATCGAAGCCCACAGACCATAACCACCCCCCAAGAAAACATAATTTTCTGAGCCTAGGGCTGGAATAGGTGAAGTTCTAGACTGTGCCCAGGACAGCTGTCTGCATGTGGGCATGAAAATGGAAGAGCAATCAGTCCAGACTTCTCAGCACCAGTCAATAGGTAAAAAGCACTAGGTAAAACATCCACTAACTATATAATTCATTCGACAGTGTTGCAGAGTTTCTGCCATGTGTTGGACACAGTGCTGGATGTTTCAGGTACAAATATAAATTAGAAATATATTCTTCCCTCTAGAAGGTCACAGTGTGGTAGGAAAGAAAAATATGCAAACAGATAACGACCGCCCAAGGTGGAAAGTTCACAATACATGGCAATGATCTTTGCCAAGCTGGTTTGAATGCCAAGGAGCATGGAAAGCACGCCGTGAAGTATATCAGAGTCTTCTTCCCAAAATATACCCTGTTCTCTCAACCCCCTCCCGCAACAGCAAGAGTTCCTGAAATTCCATCCAGATTTGTGTTAACAATTAAAAAATTTTTAAAAAACCAAAACAGCTAGAAAGGTTGTCATCCACATCTCAGTAAATTAGCTTAATAAACCTACTTTTCTACATCTAGTAAAAAGCACCTACATGGAAAGAATGGGAGTTTTAAGAGGCGAGGAAAAGAAACAAGAACTAATTTGGAAGACAGCACATTATAACCAGAGGGAATGCAGGGAAAGGGCACATAGAGAAAGGAGAGGATCTCTGAAAAGGAAAATAGAAACTCAAAATTTTCAGGCACAAGAATCCATTAGAATTCTAATACTTCCAAATGAACCTAATTTCAAATGGAAACTGCCTCCAGAATGTTTACTCACTTCAAAATTCTCTGATCCTTCCTCCTTTTCTCTCCAATGAGGGATCTCTGCCACCATCTCTGTAAGCATGGCTGTCACATCACTTAAATGCTCTGGTTCGTAACCCCATCACAATTATTCTGCTTTCCTGGAATGTTTGGGTGGTCATGGTTGCGAGAGGAGGGATAAAGAACAGGAGAAGGGGGTTTGATAGAGCCATTCGACAGAAAAAGAAGAAGGAAGATATGGATGAATAAAGATTAATTTAAGGAAAAACAGAGTTACGAAGGAAAACAGAACTAGAAAAGGATAAATTATAATTGATATATGCCCAAAATGTTACTCAGTTACTATTTCCTTCTAGATACTTGGTTGGCCACTATTCACAGATCTTTATCCGTTCCTTATCTTTAAACTCCAGATTTCTCTTTTCTATTATTGGCCATTGAGAGTGTTAGAAGAAAATTTTTTCAATTGTTTAATTGCATTTTGAGTGATTTGGTTTCTTTAAATTCTAAACATTATGGGTAAAACTGGATTAAATGTAGCCAATGCAAGGCTAAAATCTTCAGGCACAAAAATCCATTAACTTTCTAATATTTTCAGAAGATGAACTTAATTTCAAATGAAAGCTGCCTGCAGAATACATTAAGCATGTTCTGGATACAATCCGTTTTGGCAAACATGCTGTAAAAATTCACACAAAATTTCACTGAACTAAAAGTAAATTGCCCACAGAGCAAAAAATATTTTCAATAACTTCAAATCCTAAACAAAGACACTCCTCGGAAGAAAAACAGTACTAAGAAAGTATACAGTAATGATGGATGAGTTAGAAATTGTGGTTTTGTAATTTATCTCAATTGAAGAGATTATCTACATTTACTTTGATTAACAGAGTTGATCTGGAGGCCCTATTTAGATACAACCTGAAATACCAAAATTAAATCTCTTTATAGACTTTATTGTGAGATAATAAAACAAATTTTTCTTCAAAGCATTACAAACCAAAATTACAACTGCTAATGGAGTACTAGAATGTAAAAATGTTTTCCTCTGTGAACTATATCTTTTAGTAGCTGAAATTACTTTCATTCATTAGTTTTCTTATTCTGGCACATGGAATATCAATACTTTATAAGATAAAGTTTTCCTAAATCATCCTTCATTTGTAGGAACCCCTAAGTGCCAAATTTCACTGACTGCATAGTGGGTAAATAATCGATTACTTTGTACACTGAATCACCTCATTGAACAAATTTTGATGACAATATTTTCACATGCCACTCTCAAAGTTGGTATGAGAAAATTTTAAATACATGCAAACTCTCACATTATTTTAATTCTCTTACCAAACCAACTATGATATAGATAAAAGAGAATAGCTTTTATTAATTTTCCTACAAGTGAAAAAGACAGATAAGTTGCAAATTATGCATTTTTAATTACAACTAAGCTGAATAGAAGCATCTCCATTATTTAAAGTTGAGGAATGGGCTATACAAATTCCCCCTTATGTGAAAACTTAAATGCCTTTCTTTTCTCTTTGCTCTATTCTCAAGATCTCATCTGATCTGATCTGATCCTACCGTTACCACCCCAGTTCACAGACCATTAGAGTCTTGTGACTTTCCATCCTTTAAGATCCAGCTCAGGCATCTCCCCCATGAAGCCTTCCCAGATTACCCAGGGCACCATGTCTTCAAAGTGCCTTCTGCTTCTGCCACTAACCTACTGCATTCCTTGAGTAACAGTCAAGCTTTCTATTGACCACTTGTCACAGATGCTGTTCGAGCCCTGAATGATGAATTGGTATAGATGTCCTGAGAATCAGATTATCTTTTTTTTTTTTTTTAACTTATACTCTCAACTAGACCATGAACTTCATTTAATACTTACCGCCATGTTGTTTATCTCTTTACATCCCCACACTGGCCACTTAATGGCATTTGTTATAAGGATGATGGCATCCATTTGCATAGGACGAAAACTTCTCCCCTGAATTAAGAAGTCATTTTTCAGTTATTTGGCAAAGAAGCTTCTGAGACTGGAAATGGAAACTAGGAGTCCAAAAAGACACTCTCGATTTTAATAGTGGCAGGACCAAGAATAAAGCTCCCTGGTGGTGGTGGCCAATGGCATTATCTCATGGTGACAACCAGGAAGTCAGAAAATAATGCTGGGAAGGTGTCATTAGAGCTACAGGGTAAATACCCCAAATGCCTAGACCAAGGACAGGATCTGTGATCCCGGAGTTCAAGCTAACCATGAAAGGATCAGAAATTGGTATTCTGTAGACTTTTTTAAGAAATGGTTTTGACATCCTCCAAATTTCCCTTTTGTTTTCGACACGTTAGGTAAAGTTGTTTGAAAATCCAGTCTACCTCAGCTCTGCTAAAGGAAATGAATTATACATTTCACCTTTGCCCAAGCAAAATAGGGCCAGAAGAACATGGTCCAGCAACACCTTAGTGTTGGAGGAAAGTCTGGGGGAAAAAGGCCGCCTGCTTGGTTCTAAACCCTGTGAGATCTAGAGTATGTTGGACCTAGGATGGCAGCATTTTAAAACAAACATTGCATTATTTGGAGTGAGCTCACACTGAAACACAGAAGTACTCTTGCATTAAAAACTGAAAGTGTATTATTCGCAAAAATTCAGAGCACACATGCTATATTTCCTCTATGGTACATAGTAATACATTATTGAATAAAGATTATCATACTTTTTCATGAATAATGAGTTTTCCTCTTGACAGTATAAACAAGGTCTGTTTCCTCAATTACTTGTATACAAATGTAAACACTATTCTTTCATCATAAAAGTAATGCTGAAGCTCATCAAGGAGTACTTACTCTAAATATACTTTTTTAATGACAAAATGTGTTTTAAATATTGTGAAATAGCTTTTCTGTTGTATTAACTACTTTTAAAGCGATGAACATAACACATTATTTCAGAATTAAACTATCTAGAAATTTCCTTACCATTGTCCCAATAATATAAAATAAAATTCAAATTATATACTTAGAAGTTATATACTATGACTTATATAAATTTGTATTTCAAATTATATAAAGTATATGCTATAAAATTTTAAAGAATAAATTCTTAATCTTAAATATAAATTCTCAAGATAAATTTATCAACGTTTCAGTGTTTCACATCTTTAAATTTGTGCAATACCCCACTGGAAGCAACAGAACTGTGGTAAAATTCTTAGGTGAAATTTGCTGAAACTTCTTGAGTCATATAATTTTTAAACCCTCTAACTTTGAGACAGACTGAATAAATGTGAAAGACTGGATCAAGTTTCTCATGTTTACCTTAAAGACTACCTATAAAAATTTAGTTTAAACATGGATGCTAAGCGAAATAAGCCAGACAGAAAAAAGTTGAAAAATCACATGATATCACTTATATATGGGATATAAACCTAAAAGCAACAGATGAACAGGACAAACAAACAGAGACTCATGGACATGGACTATAGACTAGTGGTTACCAGAGGGTAGGGCGTGGGGGTCAGGGGATGAGGTAAAGGGGGTCAAATACGTGGTGACGGAAAGAACTCTAACTATGGGAGGTGAACACGCAGGGTAAGCATATATATGCTTTGCTGTTAAAGTGTACAGCTGAAACTTATTGGATTTCATTAACCAATGTTACTATAAAAAATAAAAAATAAAAAAATTTAGTTTAAAGCATTGATATTTAAAAATATGACATCAGTGTGAAATTTGCGGTCACTATTTTCCCTGCAAAGCTGTGGAATAGAGTTCTTCTTTCCAAAGGAATAAAAATTGTTCTTTTTTTTTTCCTGAAACTTCATTCAATATATTTCTTTAAGAAGTCAAATACTTTGTATATTTCCTATGTCTGGGAAATGGGGTAATGAATATGCCCAAAGCTAAAAAACATTAAAAAGTACTAACTTAGAAACTATGAAAATAGAAGACATCAATAAAATATATTCTATACAGGACGCCCTGATCACACACCATTTTTTAAATATAAAATATACTTACAGAACTTTAATATCAGCATAAAATGATTATATAGAATTTTTTTTTTTTTGGTGTGTGTGTGGGGAAACTGGTTATTCAATCTTGTCCTTGATTGAGTAAACAGAAATTCACTATAAGAACTATTTTTGGTATGAAAGGTAATCTGATTCAAAAGTGTTTAGGAATCACCTGAGATATTAGAAGAGAGATGTATACAATCAAAACAGGTTACTTAAATGGCATTAATATTTAAATGCATTAAATATAATTCAATGGCATTTAAATATTAGGATAGAAATAGTAGTAATCGTAAAATGCCATTTTGGCACTGTTATTGGTATTCATCGAAGTATTAAAGAAGTGAAAATATTAGAAAGGTTATACTTTCCTCTTATTTTACTTATTGATAATTAAGAAACAAATGAGTCTATGGAATAGTAATTCTCTCAAGTAGAGCACATAACTGCATTTAAGAAAAAAAATTGTCACTTTCAGGGAGTCCTTGACGTCTCACTTCTCCCGGGGCCTTTCAACTGCATTGGCCTCTTTTAAATGAAGAAAGGTGAAAACTGACTTCAGTGTGCCATCACCACTCTGTTGTGAATAACAAAGAAAGGTGGCCCACAGAAGACCAAAGAGTCCAGAGCAAGCTGTTCTCCACTGAATAGGAACAAAGCTAAAGTTGACCAGCTGTAACGGAAAGAGAATACGTTAGGGCTCCACGTAAACCAAAGCCAGGAGTGAGCATTCTGAGTAGTTTGAAACTCACCTGTACAAAAGGCCAGTACATCAGACCAGTCTGGAATTAGACAAAACACGAAAGCTTTATTAGAATGCCTTTTTAATCACACAACACAAGCCTTCAGTTTATTCTACAAAAGATTGCAAAATACCAGGCCGAAAGAATGCGGACGTGGTATGATATTTCAGACTAAGCCGATTAAATTAGACCACTTAAGGTCGTGGGGAGTTGTGACAAAACCTTTTGGGTTCAAGACATTTTTAGTAGTTATATTCACAGATCCAGACTTTGCAGTCATATATCAATCGCAATTTTCCTGTTTACCCCAAGCAAATGATACAGGAACATACTGATAAAAAAGGATCATCAATAAAATGTTTTGGTTTTGCTAATTGTTCCATATCCACAACAAATGAGTACAGAGAATGCCCTGTACAAAACAACGCAGAGGTTCAAGATCAAGGTGTTCCCTTCGGGCGAGGCTGAAGATTTCAGTCTCTGATATTTGGAATTTAGGCTGCAGTCCTTGTTTTTGGATGGATCGCTAATCTGTTTTTAACTAGATTTGAACAGAAGGAAGGCCGTTTGGCCCAGGTGGAAGTAGATGAAGTGTTCCCTTTGACGTGTCACATAACTACTGAAGTTCCTCCCCACGACGCAGCATCAGGTGTACGTCTTGTCAAATTCCTTCTTAAGAAAGGGACCCCATGTTATATTTCCTCAACGCCTCAGCAGCCACCCCCTGCCCCTGAGTCCTGTTGCCTCTTCTCTGACATATGGGTATTTTTGAGCACGGCTTCTCGGTGGCACGTGGTTACGGCCGGGCAGGGGATGGCCGACAGCACCAGGGTTGGGGTTGGGGGCGGGGAAGAGCTGGCACGGCCCCAACCTGGTGGGAGATGCAGCCGCTAATCAAATCCTGGGATATCTCAATAAAAATTAGAAACTATAGACTAAACTATTCTTTGTGGAATGACTTGCTAATAATATAGTCTGCTATTTCATGCTGTAGAATTAAGTTTAGCTGGCATTTTGGTGCATTACAAAATATTTCAAGATAGATTTATTTTAACAGGCTTTAACCTGTACATTCTGACAAAAAGGTCATCATTATGGATTTTTTTTCCTCACAGATAGAGGTCTTGGAATGTAAATTATACCCCCCCACTCCACCCCCCAAAAATCCTGGCAGTTTTGTCCAGAACACCCAAAAAAGGTAGCCTGTATGTCTTCATTGAAGATCATTTCAAAATAGTCTTTAAGAGTATTACACTAGTAATATAAAGGTGGTATTACTTCCTTTTCTTGTTTTTACTAATCTTTATTTTCTAAAGTTTCTACAATAAACTGTTGCAATAAAAGTTATTTAAAGTATATACTCATTTAAGAAATTACCACTTCAGCAAAAACAATCAGGAGAGTGAACTCATGCAAACATGGCTTTCCTTCTCATGGCAATTTTTTTCTTTCAAAACACATCATTACATCATGCACAGGTCCTGGTCTCCTCTACTATTCCCCACTAAAAGGAAAAAGGACTCCTCGGAGAAACGGCTGATTCCAGCCCTGGAGAAGGGCAAACACAAGGTATAAGATGAGCCCGGAACATCTTGTTGTGAAAGAGTGATTTTTAAAATAACGGGGGATGTCACAAGGACATGGGAGCTAGCTCGAAGGGACCCTCGACTGGCCCAATCTAGGACACTTAAGCGTCAAAAATAATTATCCGCAGGAATGAATGGTAAACCATTGAAAAACATGGGAATCCCTGAGTCCATACTGATAATAAACAGAGAAATAAGTAACTAAATAAATGGGAGAGAAGAGCGGGCTCTTGTTTACAGAACATTGAGAGCCATCCAGTTAATGTGGCACCAGTGCTGGAGCTGGAAACCCATCTTTTGGAACCACTACAAGAGCAAAGGCTGGTTCAGGCAGAATCGTCAGTGAGTACCAAATCCAGGGTGAGGGGAGATATTCTGATGGGGAGCAGGATATTTATTTGCATGGTCTTAAAGAGCCTCCCTACAGACTGCTTATTAGTTTCAAGAGAAAAAACAGTAACTACATAGTGGAAAAATCAGACACCTTGACCAGGTGGTGAAAATTGATGTCACCCATGAGAGGCAGAAGGATATCCTGCACCCGCTCCTCTGCTGTGATGACCTTGAGGAGGACACATCGCCACAGATGGTGTGTTCCAGCCAGGAAAGTATAACCTGCATCTAATCATTAGGAAACAACAAACTCCCCCCCGCAAGAAAGAGAACGCTTTGCTGTTTTGTTTTGTTTTGTTTTTTTTAAAGGGAAGACTATGTTTCTCAAAAATTTCAGTGTGCAATACATTTTTTTAAAAGGGCTAAGAAAATGTTCCCACTTAATGGGGACTAAAGAGACAGGAGAACTAAATGCACTGCCTGATCCCGCTCCTCTGCTGTGATGACCTTGAGGAGGACACATAGCCACTAAAGATACATGAGAACTAAATGCACTGCCTGATCTTTATAAATATTGGGAGATGTTAGCTCTTTTGGTATGCTTAGTGGTTACCTTAGAGGAAAAGAATTTTGGAGCATTTTGCTTTCTGGGTGAAAATAATGATCTGTTAGATTAAATTTAGGTTATTTAATTTCTTATATGGATTTATAACTTTTATTTGCTGTTTTGTTTTGTTTTGTTTTTTTTAAAGGGAAGACTATGTTTCTCAAAAATTTCAGTGTGCAATACATTTTTTTAAAAGGGCTAAGAAAATGTTCCCACTTAATGGGGACTAAAGAGACAGGAGAACTAAATGCACTGCCTGATCCTGAACTGGATCCTGTACTGGAAGGTAAAGAAATGCTATAAAGGCCATGAGATGGTCAAATGACAAAAATGAAATATGGGTAGTAGATGAGCAAAAAGGATTATCATCACTGTTATATTTTTCGAAGTTGATAACTATTCTCTGGTTATATGAGAACATCTTCATTCTAAAAAAAGAGATCGCTAAGTATCTAAGCGTAAAGCGTAATTCTGTGTGTAACTAACTCCCAAATGGTTTAGAAAAACATTAGAAAGATGGAGGGATGACATATAGAGCAAGCAAATAATGAAAGAAATAGAGCAAAATGTGAATAATAGGTGAACTTGGGCAAAGGGTATAAGGGTATTTTTGAAATGTTCCTGTTATTTTTCTGTAAGTTTGAAATTATTTCCATATTAAAGTTTTTAAAAACTATATCAAAGAGAAGGATGTAATATTAGATATATTTCTAAGAAATAATACATCTATCTGAGTTGCCATATTGCAAAAATCACTGTGATACTGACTAAAATTCAGAGACATGTATAGACACTCTAAAGCTTCTTTTTATTCATCTATCAAAACAAATTTAAGATCTCTCTGTCAAAATATTGTACCCTTGTGCCAACCACCTGAAGCCCTTATTTGAAAATATTTTTATTAAAATGTTTTTAATGTTAAAAATGTACAAAAAGATCTTGGTTGCATTTGCAAAAGTCTGTCTTACCATGTATGTATTCCAGAATTTCTTTTTCAGGTCCCCAAATATGTCATCCTTTCTCTGGAGAATACTCATACCTATTTGCAAAAACACACGCCAAAACAATTTTAAAAGATTCAGTAAGAAAAATACTGTATAACAGTTCGTATTCAAGTTTTCTATTTCAACATGTAAACACCGTCACTCATTACATCTGTCCCTTCTGACCCAACAGTGAAAATAGAATATAACCTCTATTCTAAAACTAGAAAAATTTTAAAGGAATAATAAACATGAAGTGAGACCAGCAGAGTATAAAAGTTAAAGTGGAATGATCATTTCTTTAAAAACTAAGAAAATTCACAAAAACAGCAGTGTTGAGATAGTGAGACTGTTGGTGACTTATCTTCTCCCACTTCCAAACTTTTTGTGATGTGCTTAAAATTTCTTAAATTTAATTACCTTTTTAATAAAGGCTGACGGCCTGGGTATTCTGGCGACTCCAAGTTTCCCATCAAAGAAAGAGGCTTTCTAACCAGAAATGAAAAGCAGAACACCAATTCAGCCTATTGTTCAACAACCCTGAAAGGATATTCAGGGAGCAAGGACAGAACCCTCCTATTTTAGGAAGGATTTAAGAACGAGTGCTTTAAAAATGCTATCTTAACTCCGATTAGGGAGAAGGGGAAATAAGATCCTTTCAACCAACTGAAGGGGATTTTTAGAACAGGACTCAGAGTAAAACTCAGCCAGAATACTGGTATCCCGGTCCACCTACCCAGCACTAATTAAGTGCAAATTTACATGCATTATTCCATTTGACTCTCCTAACCATTGGCTGAGGATGTTAAGAGTTTCGGAGGAGGAAAGAGCTCAGGGAGGTTAGTATCGGTCCAAGACCAACCCAGGTGTGGATTCTGAGCCAGACCTCTTAATTCCAACTATTCTAATCCCCTAAGGTGGCCAGGCACAAAGCATCATCTGATACCGGCAATTTCCAAGTGGAACAAAACACCCAACCCACTCCTTCCCGCCTTCCCCCTTCATTCCATCAAGAGAAGGACACTGGGCCAGAAATATGAAAAGCAAAACAAAGGAGCAACTGGGCAGGCCTCTGTTTCATAGGCCTCCTCTATGAAACGTCTTTCTGGTTTCAGGCATATCGACAACAGTCATTGAGAACATGGCATGAGGTGTGTTGTCTGGCGGCAAATCACTTCAACCTCTCTGAGCCTCGGTTGTCTCATCTGTAACATGGGAATAATAAGAGTACCTGCCTCACTGAGTTGTTTGAGAATTAAATGGGAATCTGATTCCCAAACTCCCAGCCCCCAGCTCCTAGCCTCTGCCCCACTGTACAAGGCCACTGTAGTAACAGGCCTTGTTGAACCAGTTTGCAAATCTGGCCAGGAAGTCATGCCCAAGGGACCAGACACAGATCTGACAAAGCAGGCAGCCCTGCTCTCTGGTCCTATTTCCCCTTGTCTCACCGACCTATGCACCAAGTAGCTGGCTGAGACCGCATCAGAAAGACCTGTCCTTCAAGTGTCCTGTGGGGTTTGTGAGAAAAGAAACGAAATCTGGTCCCCCAAAGTAAGATCAATGGGGGTGGTGTAGGTTTCTTCAAGGTGGTGACTTGACCACCTCAACCCCATTTATACAGTACCAACAGACACTAACAAGAACCTCTTGGGGTGATCTGTGATCCCCAACACCAAGGCCAGGCCCAGGAATCTTGGATTTTCTTAGGGTATGGGTGCCCCTCCCCAGCCCACTCCCTTTCGAGATGTTGAAATGCGGATGGAGGCCACGGGGCCTCTTCCATTGGTTTTGATATTTAGGGCCCTGAAGAAGGTTCCCAAAGTCAGGCCCTCAACCCCTAGGGTGGATTGTCTGAGGAGGGGCTCCAGAGACCCTCACAGGTTAGAGTCCTCTACAGCAGGGGTCTGAGGTCCCCTCACATTTGCTGAAAATCTGGTTACTAAAGCAGGTCTAGGACCCTGAGCGTGAATTTTCAGGGAAACCGGACCTCAGGTTCCATCAGCTCTGCTCTCACATCCCAGGTCCCTCGCATTTTGTTGGTGTGTTGGAAAGTAATGTCGCTAGTGGAAAAGAGACCCCTTGTCCCCAGGTGTGATTTTCCCAGAAGCAGGATGCCGCAACTAGGTCACAGGGGTCATAGCTTCTATGGCAACGAGCTGGGGTCTCTTAGCATCCCTGTGGACCTTTTATTGGGGGAAATGGATTCCCAGCCTTGCTCCCTCCACCCCAGTTCTGGCTTATGTCCCACACCGCACTGACCCGCCCCCAAATCACTAATTACTAGCCCCAGAGTCCTAACTCCGATT